TGGTCGCAGACTCCTTTGTGACACAGGAGCCCAGCGAAGCGTCCTGCCGGCTACCGTGGAGGACGCCGCCGGTGGGGGTCACGGCCCGCCTTTGACATCTGCTAACGACACCCCTATTCGCACCTATGGCACAAAGACAGTGGACCTGTGCTTCGAGGGTCAGCGGTTTAGGTGGGATTTCGTCACGGCTGACATCTCCTTCGCCCTCCTCGGCGCAGACTTCCTGTGCGCTCACGGGCTGCTGGTGGACGTCAAGAACAACCGCCTGGTGGACGCAATGACATTTGCCTCGTTCACATGTACCCGCGGCGAGGCGTCATTCTGCGGGCTCTCCAGCTCACTCTCACAGGGTGACAAGTTTCAGCACCTTCTCAGTGAGTTTCCCGACTTGACGCAGCCCACCTTTTCCGCTGCCACCGCCAAGCACGGGGTAGAGCACCACATTGACACTGTGGGCCCTCCAGTATACGCTAGGGCCCGGCGGCTCAACCCTGACATGCTGGCAGTCGCCAAGTCGGAGTTCGTCAACATGGAGCGTCTGGGCATCATCCGCCGCTCAGGCAGCCCTTGGGCTTCGCCGCTTCACATGGTCCCTAAAGCAGCCGGTGGCTGGCGACCGTGTGGCGACTACCGCCGCCTTAACGACACCACTACGCCAGACCGCTACCCGGTCCCTCACATCCAGGATTTCTCTGCTCACCTGGCGGGCAAGCTGGTCTTCTCCAAGGTGGATCTGGTGCGGGGCTACCACCAGGTTCCGGTGCACCCCTCGGACGTCCCCAAAACTGCTGTGATTACGCCGTTCGGGCTTTTCGAGTTCCTGCGTATGCCTTTTGGACTTAAGAACGCTGCTCAGTCCTTTCAGCGGCTGATGGATTCGGCGCTCAGAGACATGCCATTCATTTTCGTCTATTTAGACGACATCCTGGTCGCCAGCTCCTCCTCCGAAGAGCACCAGGCACATCTCCGGGTCCTTTTCGCAAGGCTCGACCAACACGGCCTGATTATCAACCCGGCGAAGTGTCAGTTCGGGTTGTCCTCCATCCAGTTCCTCGGGCACCTCATCAACAAGGGTGGGGCCGCCCCCCTCCCGTCGAAAGTGGAGGCCGTGTCCGCCTTTCCACGACCGCCTACAGCTCGGGCGCTCCGGGAGTTCCTCGGGATGGTGACGTTTTATCACCGGTTCATCCGCCGGGCGGCCCACACGATGCGCCCGCTGTACGAGGCCCTCAAGGACAAGTCCCCCGGCCAGGCCATAGACTGGACGGCTGAGAGGGAGGTTGCTTTCGACGCCACCAAAGCCGCCCTGAGCGAAGCCGCCATGTTGGCTCACCCGTCGCACGGGGCCCCCATCGCTATCACCACCGACGCGTCTGACTACGCGGTGGGCGCGGTGCATGAACAATGGGTTGACGGCGCCTGGCAACCGCTCGCCTTTTTCAGCCGCCAGTTGACTCCCAGGGAGCGCAAGTACAGCGCTTTCGACAGGGAACTCCTTGGTCTCTATTTGGCGGTTCGTCACTTCCGTTTCCTGCTGGAAGGCCGGGAGTTTGCGGCGTTCGTGGATCACAAGCCGCTTACCTTCTGCATGTCCAAGGTGGCCGAGCCGTGGTCCGCCCGACAGCAACGCCAGCTTTCGTACATCTCCGAGTACACCACGGACATTCGACACATCGCTGGCAAGGCTAACGTGGTCGCGGACTGCCTCTCCAGAGCGGTTGTCGGAGCTGTGCAGCTGGGCCTCGATTACCTCCGCATGGGTGCTGACCAGGCCCCTGACCACGGGGTCCAAACCCTCAAGGCCTCGGTCACGGGATTACGCCTGGAGGAGGTCACGGTCGGTGACTCGGGCGCGAAGCTGTGGTGTGACGTCTCCACGGGCCAGCCTCGGCCGCTGGTCCCTGCGGACTGGCGCCGACCCGTTTTTGAGGCGGTTCACAATCTTTCCCACCCCGGTAGGAAGCCGTCCGTGAGGTTGTTGTCGCAGAAGTTCGTGTAGCAGGGGCTTAAGAAGGACGTGAGGTCCTGGGTCGACTCATGCATGGCCTGTCAGCGGGCCAAAGTCCACCGCCATACTAGGGCCCCTTTTGAACTTTTTGCGGTTCCTGAGAGGAGGTTTGACCATGTCAATGTCGACCTCGTAGGTCCGCTTCCCCCCTCTCACGGTTTCACATACCTGTTTACGATGGTGGACAGGACGACCCGCTGGCCCGAGGCCGTTCCCCTCACCTCGACGTCAGCTTCCGACGTCGCCCGCGCCTTCATCGGCACGTGGGTGGCGCGGTTCGGGACCCCGTCTGACCTCTCCTCTGACCGCGGTCCTCAGTTCACCTCGGAGCTGTGGAACGCTGTTGCTGTGGGTTTGGGGGTCAAGCTGCACCGCACCACCGCTTATCACCCCCAGGCTAACGGATTGTGTGAGCGGTTTCACCGGTCCATGAAGGCGTCGCTGCGTGCCGGCTTGACAGACGGCAACTGGGTGGATAAGCTCCCATGGGTTATGCTCGGCCTCAGGTGTGCCCCCAAAAAGGACCTGCAGTCCTCGTCGGCGGAGCTCGTTTACGGCCAGACGCTACGGGTCCCCGGGGAATTCATTCCCACCGCTACTGTGCCCTGGTCTGCGGCCGGGCAGCGCTCCTCCCTGCTGGAGGCCGCCGGGACATTCGCGCCCGTCCCAACGTCGCAGCACAGCAGCCCAGCTTTCCGGGTGTCCCCCGGATTACGGTCGGCGGATTTCGTTTTTATTCGCCACGACGCCCACCGCGGCCCCCTGCGCCCCCCGTACGACGGTCCATTCAGGGTCATACGTCACGGGGACAAGAGCCTGGTGGTGGACGTTGGTGGCAGGCCTGAGACTGTGTCTGTGGATCGGGTTAAGCCTGCTCACGTGGACGTTTCCAGGCCGTTGGAGTTGGCTTTGCCCCCACGTCGGGGCCGCCCTCCCGTGGCCCGCCCCCCGCCCCCTGTGGGGATGCCCTCGCCCTCGTTGGCGCCCCTGCCCTCGCCTGCGGCCCCGCCCTCCTCGGCCCCTGTGGTCCGTACGCGCCGGGGTCGGGTGGTACTTCCCCCCAGGCACGAGGATTTTGACTATGGGTGAATTCTGGGGGGGCTTGTGTGGTGATTGACATTATCCACCCACAGATCTACTGTACTGTATTGTTTCACACGGACATTTGAGTGAGGCGGACTTAGGGTTTCCGCCGGTATTCTTCTCCTCGTGCATGTTGTTGTGACATGAAGTTCAGATGCAAAATAAAGGTCTAGCTTGTTCATTCGATACACCGCCTCCGACTCCCGTCTCTCGGCACCACAATATATAGAATAATTATGATGATGAATGCATTTTTTTACCACTAAAATACAGCAACACATCTTTGATTCATGTTGTTTATAACTGGAATATTACAGTTATTATTAACTTTGTCTGTACAAAGTAGCCTGTCCAGGAAATATGCCCAAATCAACAAAAACTGCGAGCCGGCAGGCAAGACGCTCCGCTTCTGAAATGCTTCTGAAACGCGCCTGGTAGGGTATGACGCCGGAGGAGGCCGGACCAAAACCGCAACGCGGCGCAGACGGACCCGGTGGAATCTAGGGGTCAGGCTGCTCACAATGTGAGCCACTCTAAAACACAGCACAACGCCAGAGATTACGCATGTTTTGAAGGAGCGAGCAATTGGCATGCAGGAATGTCCACCAGAGCTGTGAATTTAATGTTCATTTCTCTACCATCAGCCGTCTCCAAAGGCGTTTCCGAGAATTTGGCAGTACATCCAACTGGCCTCACAACCACAGACCACATGTAACCACACCAGTCCAGGACCCCCACATCCAGCATCTTCACCTGCAAAATCATCTGAGACCCTCGGACAGCTGATGGAACAATCGGTTTGCATAACCAAAGAATTTATGCACAAACTGTCAGAAACCGTCTCAGGGGAGCCCCTCTGCATGCTATCGTCCTCACCAGGATGGGGTTATGGTATGGGCAGGCGTATGTTATTGACAGCGAAAACAGGTGCATTTTATTGATGGCATTTTGAATGCACAGAGTTACCGTGACGAGATCCTGAGGCCCGTTGTTGTGCCATACATCATCCACCATCACCTCATGTTGCAGCATGATAATGAATGACCCCATGATGCAAGGATCTGTACACAATTCAAGCTGAAAACATCCCAGTTCTTGCATGGCCTGCTTCCTCAATTGATTGTGTGGATCAACATTCCACACAATCAACAACCTGATCAACTCTATCTGTTGCACAACTGCCAAAGAAAAAGTATTATTTCACAAAAGTATTGGAAACTATTCAAATACGATGTGCAGAATGGCCCCATCATTTTCATGTTGGAGCTGATTGAGCTTAAAATTGGTCAATTATTTATATATTTTTATTTTATTTTTGAGCAAAGTTTGAAATAAATGCAGTAAAACATATGACAGTTTTATTAGAAAGGTTTAGAAGTTTAAGGATAATGTAGCGTAGTAACCCAAACTTTTTCTCTAACAATGCACTTAGTTAGTGTACTTTATCTTTCCTTGTTGAATCATGTGCACCAGCAGACTGGTCAGGGTGGTTGTTGGTGGGATGAAGCAGATTTGAAGTGTTGCAGTACACAGCCCTGCTCAGACACCTCGGTGGGCTACATGAATATTCTCATGAAATAAAGATAACTAATTGTTTTGAAACCTAATGGTGATTCATTCATTGACTTAATTTGCCTTGGATCAAAAATACAAATTCAATGAATGAAAGTGGAAACAGACACATTCATTAATGATCTGATTGAACATCTAAGTGGGTTGATGGGTCTAAACAGTGTTTCAACCCTATGGTGGGTTTAAGAACTGTAAGATTCTCTGACTTTAGGGTTGGATCTTAAATTATGATATCTTCATTTGAACCCCCCCCCCCCCTCTTGTGTCTGCTGCAGGCACCACACGGTTGACCCAGCCTTTGTTGACGGCTGATGTTTGATGTCTTTTGTCTCCTCAGGGAACTGGAGGACTATGTGGTGCGTCTGCAGCGTAGCTCCGCTCCCAGTACCAAGCAGCTGGCCCCCACTCTGAGAGAGGTGGAGGATGGAGCGGTTAACCTGCGGCGGGTTGGAGAAGCTCTGGCCCTCCTCAAAGGTCTGAATCAATCACACTTAAATTTTTTTTGTCATTTTATGTGATGACAGTAGTACGCCTCAAAAGGGGCTACCAAAATGTTGGGTATGAGCAAGTCAGGTTATTAGCACGTATTAATGATATTTAATATAAATAGTACTAAATATTTATAAAATCCTAAATAGGTGTTGATAATAACTGTCACTGGAGTTAATCTGGTCCATTAGCTCAAAAAACATTTAAATTAAATAGTCAGAAAGAATCAATATTTTTATATAATTTTATATATTCCTAAACTATATTACTTTTTATGATAAGATAATTGACGGAAACACAAAACCTGAACTAATGTGAGATGGTCACGTGTATTGGTGCTGCCGGGTTAAGAAGATAGAGTTTGCGTAGGACTGTGTCTGTGTGTGTCTCTCATGTGGCCATTAGCTCAACAATAGATCACACAATTAAACTTAGTGAACAACCAAAAAACCCCTGTACACACATTTACAACTGTACAGTAGTCCTATGCTTATTTAGCTCTGTAAAGTTAATGAACTAAATATATACAATGACCGGTGGATGGTTATTCCATTATAGCAAATCATACTTAGCTGATAGTTTGTTACCTTAGCTGGGGAACCTGTCCAGTGTAGAACAGCTGTGCCTCTGTTGCTGCAGCGTGTTGTCAGTTGAATGGTCAGTAAGCTGTGTTGTTATCCTGCAGAATGCAATTATTTGTGTTAGCATTGCCAGCTGTGGCTCAGTGCTGGTTGACTTAAAGACTTTGAAGATGCTTGCATCTGTGCCGTCAAAGATGGGTCCAGTTCAATGCACATATTGGCACTGGAGACCCATGGTGTGGAGGTTCGAGCAAGGACGCAAGAGAAAGATAGCATCATGATGTTTACTGCTCTACATTTCCATTAAGCCGGATATGAGCGGTCGAGCTCACGAGGGGGTTTAAAACTGATGGACGGGAAACGTTGGGTTGGAAAACAAACAAAGTTTATTGGAACCACTGAGGGAGTTAACACAAAAAGGGGTTAACATAAATGTAGGCTCCGGTTCTGCCCCTCTATTCACGGAGGTGGCTGGGGGGTTCACGGTCCTCCTCCCAGGACCCAGTCTACTGCAAGAGACCAGAATCGGATTATCAGCATGCTTTTTACTGAGAGCTTAATTACCTGATTCTGATCAGCTGCCTGGTCTTCGGCCGAGCCACTCCCATCACTCCCATCACTCCCATCACTCCCATCACTCCCATCAATCCCATCACTCCCATCAATCCCATCACTCCAGCAGCCAGCGCTCTAATCACACCCCGCTGCCACATACCCCCACCGCCCGACTCAGGCCGGGACTCCTCCGCCGAGCAAGAGAGGAAATCAGCCACGACCATCCGGTTACCCGGCCTGTGGACCACCTTGAAGTTAAACGGCTGTAACACCAGATACCAACGAGTGATCCGGGCGTTGGCATCCTTCATGCGGTGGAGCCACTGGAGCGGGGCATGGTCCGACCAGAGGGTGAAAGGGCGCCCCAGGAGGTAGTAACGCACGGCACCGACCGCCCACCGCATGGCGAGGCGCTCCTTCTCCACCGTACTGTAGTTCACCTCCCTCTGGGCGAACTTACGGCTAATGTACAGTACGGGGCGGTCGACCCCCTCTACCTGCTGGGACAAAACGGCCCCCACCCCACTGTTTGAGGCGTCAGTCTGCAAAACAAAAGGGAGAGAGAAGTTAGGAGTGTATAAGAGCGGCTTTCCACAGAGGGCTTTCTTAACCCTCTCAAACGCCAGCTGACACCCCTCCGGTGATGGAGGCGACTGGGGTGTTTCTGCCGGAGGAACTTGTGATTGCTGATCCCTGTTTGTATACACTTTCCTCCTCAGCCTCATTCACAATGGTGGCAACAGCAGTGGCCCTCTGCTTCCTAGGTTTTAGCACCTTTTTCAGCCTGTAGCGCAGGGTCTTCACCTCATCATTGAGGGCATCCCTCTGAGCCCTCAATGCAATTCTTTACAGCCTGACCTGCCTGCAGTCCTCTTTGTCACACTCGGTCTGTGGGGAGAAGGGTGGAGGGTGCCCCAATAATTCCTTTATGTTTTCATTGTCTACATCCAATGACGTAACCATTCCAGTTTTGGGGTGACTCATACGGAGGTCCCGAAGCATCAACTTTTGTTTGGAAAACGTCCTACCTGCCAGGACCGTGCAATGTTTTCCCAACAACAAACCCTGGATGACCCCTGAGATAAAGGCTTTCCTGAAGGACAAAAAGAGGGCCTTTAGATCAGGCAACAGAGAGGAGCTGAGGGTTCTACAGAGGGAGCTGAGGGTTCTACAGAGGGAGCTGAGGGTTCTACAGAGGGAGCTGAGGTGGAGGATCAGAAAGGGGAAGAACAGCTGCAGGAAGAGGATAGAAGAACAGCTGCAGGAAGAGGATAGAAGAACAGCTGCAGCAGAGGAACGTCAGCGGAGTCTGGAGAGTCCTGAAGACCATCTCTGGCTACAAAGAGCCAGACTCCCAACAGTGGGTAAATGACTTGAACATTTTTTTTAAGAGATTTAATGTTTTAAAGAGGGCCCCTTCCCTGGCCTATTACCCCCTGCTTGCACCACCCATTGTCCCCACTCCAACCCCCCCTCCTGCTGACGGCACCTTGTCCCTCACAACCAACCAGGTGACGAGAAAGCTGCAGAAGTATAAGAGCGAGGAAGGCGGCGGGTCCAGATGGCATCAGCTCGAGGCTCCTCAAATCCTGTGCGGATCAGCTGTGTGGGATTGTGGAGCTTCTATTCAACCTGAGCCTGAAGCAAGGGAGGGTACCACAACTGTGGAAGACGTATTTGGTACCTGTGCCAAAGACCCCTAACCCCAAGGACTTCAACAGCTACCGGCCGGTGGGGCTGACATCATAGCTGATTAAGACCCTGGAACACCTTCGGCCCCTTGTGAGACCATCGATGGACCCACTGCAGTTCGCCTACCACCCTGACATCGGGGTGGATGGCGCCGTCAGCTACCTGCTGCAGAGGTCCCTCTCCCACCTGGAGAAGGCTGGGGGGGGGGGCACTGTGAGGATCATGTTCTTTGATTTCTCCAGTGCCTTCAACACCATCCAGCCCCCACTCCTGGGGGACAAGCTGCTGCTCTCTGGGGTGGATCACCACCTCCACCTTTTATACTTTCACCTGGCTGCTATATCGCTAAACTGTAACTGTTACTGTGTATCTTGTAAATTGTTTAATTTCTAGTTTTTATTTTTAAGATGTTTTCTTATGCATGCATATTAAGCTGTCTTTGCTTTGTAACAATTGTACATTTCCCCTCTGTGGGACAAATAAAGGTATTCTGATTCTGATAGAGATATCCATTCTGAGGGTGGGCCTAATGACCCAGTGAGGTCATAGGTCACAGGCTAACCAATGGACACTGTTAATTGATGTCCACAGCTGGGGATACGAGAACTTCTACTGTAGGTGTTGACACAGGAAGGGGCTTTGGATTTCCAAATGAAAAGAGGATCATGTGAATGAAGATCCATGGCTCAGTGTCCATGTTGTGGAGCCCCAACATCAAGTTACCAAGGATTATTAGAGAGGCTAAAGTCAGAAGAGGAGGTATGACAGTGATGTTTGTGATCATGTGATCTTGGGTTTCCTTTTATTGTTTATTATACAAATGATAATTCCTTATATAAAATTACACAAACAGTTGGAGGAAATCCGTGATACAGATTATTTGCTTAATGCTGAGCGATTCAGATGAACCAAAACGAATATTATGAATAAAATTCAAATTCTGCTCCCAGAATAATTGATCCTAATCCTGCTCACATATACACACTTTAATACAGAGAACTATTTATTTATTGGAAACAGTTGTGTTGGGTAAGAGATGATCAATGATCATTCAATCTGTACTCTACACTGCACTGTTGTATAAGTCTATGTAGGACAATATAAATATTGGATCAAATGAATGTAAAACTGACTCTCAACCACAATCAGAGACAACGGAGGTTGATGTTGACATCATTTGTATCCAATAATATCCTGACAGCTTATCCCCCAAGGGTAGCAGACCCTGGGATTCCATGTGAAATACTGATACAAGGTAATGGAAGTATTTCTGAGTTGAACAGGGTAACACGTCTTTTTAATTGAATTTCCTCTTGTGTTCTAGGTGAGTTTCCAGAGCTGCAGGGGAAGCTGCGCTCAGTGCTGAGGCTGGAGGTGGAGGCGGTGCGTTTCCTGAAGGAGGAGCCTCATAAGATGGAGTCCATGCTGAAGAGGGTCAGGGCCCTGACGGAGGCCCTCAGCTGTCTCCGCAGGTGCCCATTACCTCCACCAGGCTTCTATGTTCAGCACGAAAATAATTCTGATGCATTCTCACATCTTCTTCCCTCCAGGTGTGTGTCAGAGTCAACCCCACCAGCCACAGCAGCTCAGGTGGAGACTCTGAACGTCCCGGGAACAGACCAGGGACCCGTGAAGACCCAGAGCCCCCAGAGCTCCCCCAAACCCCAGCCCCGATCCTCCGTCAGACCTGCTCCACTCACCCCCTCCCTCCCTGGGGGTCCCGCTGAAGCCTCCCCCGTCATGGCCCGCAGAATGAACGCTTCCACCTCAGTGAATCAGCCCCCCCACCACCAGCCCAGCCCCCCACTGACTCCCACCCATGGGAGAGACTCCCCCTCTGTAGCCAAGGTGCTGCACAGATGAATGTTTATGAGTTATAATCTGAGCCTTTGTGTGTGTATTATATAATAAACAGGTTGTTTGTTTGTTGTGAAGGTGAGTCCTCGCAGCAGAGAGAGCAGCCCCGCCCTGCAGAGGAGGCCCCTGCAGCCCCCAACACAGGGGGGCCACACTGACCAGGCAAGCATGATGCACACACAGACACACATATGGCGCGTTTCCACTACAGCGCGGAGCACGGTTTAAGAGGGCTGTGACGTCAGCGGGCCGTTTTTGGTTGCGTTTCCACTTGGCCTAGTACCGGCCGGCGGGTCCTAATTCACAGTTTTTCTGGCCTCATAAAATCGTGGGTCTAGGGCCAGAGACAACGAGGCTGAGTCGGGCTGAGTATGCTAAACTAGAGAGAGAATCGCTGGCAAGGGGGCTACAACTACAACAAGATGGACATATTTGACCGTGATTTAATTGTAATACACGTTTCAAAATGATGCCGAAGTAACAACATACTGATACCGGTTAGTAAAAACCATGAATTAATGCTTTGACAAGTCTGCAGACAGACGGCAGGCGAAAAACCTTTTAAAATGCGTGTTTTCTAAATGGAGATTGGCTAAGCTAAGTATGCTCTGACCGTCCACACTCACAACAACGGCCTATACAGACATAAATAAAGCAGCGACTGTATTCGCCATGACACAGGCAGTCTGTGGTTTGTACTTGTTTAACTTTTGTCGAGTTTCTGAACAGATATGAGGAGCTGTGAGCTCTGAGTGCTAACAGCTAACGGCTGTGTTGTTTTTCTGGGGTTCTCATTGAAGATGACGTCACGGCTCCGCCTACACTGCGTTACTATAGATACTACCCCAGTTCCTAAACTGTAATGGAAATGCGCCATAAAGTGAGCCAGTCCTAACGAGGCCTAGCCATACCGAGCGAGGCCGTGCGAGGCCGTGTAGTGGAAACGCGCCAATACTGAGGTGTGCTGGTTTTATTGAATGTATATATTTTAAACTCTTTTTTTAACAATCACAATTAATAATAGGAACCTTTTATTTATAGCATTTAAACACAGTTACAGAATGTTTAGCAATACACATTGCTATCAAAAATATTGAAGTGACTGTTATTTTGTATATATTGATTGTTGTGTTTTTATTTAGGTCTTAATGTGTGCACATGTAAAAATGTGTCTTTGACTGTGTATATATATACATATTTGCACACATATTTTAATATTTTATATACATTTGTTTTTATATTCTGGATTGTGGGAAACAGTATTTCGATCTCTGTCTGTACACACAACTGGAAGATTGACAATAAAGTTGACTTTGACTTTACTTTGACTTTGAATACTGACATGAAACTGACATTTAGCAGCTGGACACACAACACACACACAGAAACAGTTTGATCAATAACCTCATCATAACTCTCTATTGTTTACATATCATTTTAAACAAAGGGATTTGCTGAGGTATGTGTGGAGGAACATTGAGGTTACTGCTGAAAGGCTCTCTGTTCACTCTGCTGTCGGACCCTGAGAGTCTGCAATACAGTCATATTTAGATGGTTAGTTAAAACTATTAAGCATGTTTACATTATATACAGTACAGGCATTACATATTACTAATGAGAAACGGAGGTCACAGTCAATTTGCTCTTTATGTTGATTTAATAACTTACAGGTCAAAAGAGGTCTGTATGTGAAAACAGGCTTAATGGAACACTTTGAGATCCAATTCAACAGACGCTGTTTTAATGTGAAGCAGGAACCATCTACATGTTTACACATAATAATAATAATAATAATAATAATTCATTACATTTATTTCGCGCTTTTTCAAGTGCTCAAAGAGCTTTACATTACATAGTACACATATCAGACATGTAAAACATCAATACTGTGGACAATACCCACAGGAGCAAATTAGGGTGAAGTGTCTTGCCCAAGGACACAACGGCATGCTGACTGCAGTGGCGGTGGAGGCAGAACTGGTGTTCCCCAGCTCCCCTGATCTGAGGATCAACGCACTAGCCCATAATAATGATTGTGATGCTGAAGCAACAACACTAATATTCCTGACTTTTCTACCAAAATTAAGCCAACTTCCAAACTAGACATTTTAAATCACTGCCTCTTGAAGGTATGACAGTACTGATCATCTTTAGCTGATTCAGACATATTCATGGTTTAAAAACCTCACCTCTCAATACCATGTGTGCCCTGTATGTGTCAGACTGCAGAGAGACGGACTCCAGAGGGCAGTCTGAGTGTACAGACTCTCCCGCCCACCACCAACACACACTGTGACCAGGACCTCCAGGAAGCACAGGCCAGCCTGATGCAGTCTGTCCCTGCGCCAGACTCCACAGAGGGATGCTCTGCTTCAGGACAGAGAGATTCCACAGCCTCAGTGGAGCAGCAGGAAGTGATACCTCCCCAGCTGAGGGAGTGTGTGGGCTCCACCCAGTTAGATGCCCGAGACTCAGGTATGATACTAGTTTGAAGAAAGAAAATAAAACACAGCCATATTCACTAAATATGTCCAGAACAAGGAAGTATTCCTTTGGTCCACCAGCCTTCAACTGATATGAAGTGAGAGTTCTGATCCAACTTTCAGGCAACAGCAGCACCTTGGTAATCAGAGAAGTGTTGCTGTGATGGAGGCAAACAGGAAAGCTGACTTTGTGGAGACATTAGTTGTCTGCTGTTTATCAGTTTGTAAATGTCATGGATGTATGAGGAGAACTGGATCCAGCGATGGAGGCGGGCTCTCATTAATTCCTAAAGAAGTTGCTCAGTGGAGCATGAAGCCAAAATGGCCTGACTCTGGAGAACAGAAGCACCCGGGTCATCCGGGGATCTGGGCCTGTAGAGATGTGCACTAGTGTTCTCCTTATCTGCTCATGTACAGGCCTCACGTCTGGCTTCGGATCAGTCACATGAATGGAGAGGGAAAATGAAAACTTTTATGACCTAATTATTCAAATAAGGGATGTTCAAATGTCTGTAATGGGAAGATGATTTTGCTAAAATAATTATACATATATTCGCTGATTTACAGACGTCTCTTTCCCAATGTTAGTCAATGGGAAACTGTCTGTTGAATTCTAAGTGATTAAATGACTTCTCTCTGATTTGATGTGTTCAGCTCCATCAGCCTCGCAGCTTGTTACAGTCGCTATAAAGCCTCCACCCTCAGCCCCCCCCTCAGCCTCTCCCAAAACAGAGCACAGCAGCCGGCCACAGGTGGAGAAACCACGGCGCACCAGTGTGGACAAGGCCATGAAGCAGAGTCCAGACAGGGGGGGGAAGTCTCCCCCTCCTCCCCCAACACGGAGGTTAGTTCATCCCTGAGGCTCAGCTGCAGACCCAGCTATCTGAAGTCTACTAACGATAGATCACCTCTGTGATCTATCATTATTATTGTTATTAACTGGATCCTCCTCCCCAGGTTCCACGCTGTCAGCTCAGGACTCACCACCGGGAGCTCAGGAGAAGTGATATTCACCACCAGGAAGGATCCGGGGGGAGCCAAGGTGTGTGTGTGTGTGTGTGTGTGTGTGTGTGTGTGTGCGTGTGTGTGTGTGTGTGTGTGTGTGTGTGTGTGTCTGTGTGTGTGTGTGTGTGTGTGTGTGTGTGTGTGTGTGTGTGTGTGTGTGTGTGTGTGTGTGTGTGTGTGTGTGTGTGTGTGTGTGTGTGTGTGTGTGTGTGTGTGTGTGTGTGCGTGCGTGCGTGCGTGCGTGCGTGCGTGCGTGCGTGCGTGCGTGTGTGTGTGTGTGTGTGTGTCTAAGCATATTCGCAAATAGAAAAGTCAGTTTCCCGATTCAAACGTGCAAACATGAGTTTTCATTTCAATTACCCATCTTGGTACCACTTTACAATAAGACTACCCTTATAAAGGTTTTACGAATAGTTTGTAATTCATTTATTAATTAGGTTGTGAACACTTTATAAATCATTAATAAGCTTTTATAAGACATGAGATAAACAGGGCAACTGTGACCGGTTTCTTGCCAAATAGTGAGCCCACATTTATCTGTACTGCTAAGCCTTATATTGGCTACTTAGCTTACTTCGTCTTCTTCATCAGCCAGCATCCTTGGTATCTGTGGCTCACTGAGTTGATTCTCGCTAAGTAGCCAATATAAGGCTTAGTCATCTTGCCAAATAGTGAGCCTGTGTTGATGTATGAAAGAACTGGTTTATAAATGGTTCTTAATGATTAATAAAGTGTTTACAACCTAATTCATAACCCAATTATAAACCCTTTATGAATCCTTTATAAGGGTAGTCTTATTGTAAAGTGGTACCGAATGTTTCAGATGTTTAAAAAATCACAATTTCTTTATTTGGCAGGACAAGGAATTGTCATACATATGTATATATCATGCAGTGTTAAACAGTCTGATGACAAAGATGGTGAATTTCCTCTGGTACAATGCGTATTTATAATAATAATAATACATGTTATTTTTATAGAGCTTTTCCTGGTGCTCAAAGCGCTTTACAAGCAAGTAAAGAAGAACAATAACAACAAATGTAGAAAGTGCTAAGCTAGGTGGAATAAGGGCGAGGGGTTAGTGGATTAGGAGTTGAAGTCAAGAGTGAAGAGGTGAGTTTTGAGAGATTTTTTAAGGAAAGTGAGATTGTTGGCAAATCGGATGTGACTGGGGAGGGAGTCCAGAGTGAGGGGGAGGCTGCTGCGAAGGCCCTGTCCCCCCCAGGTCCGGAGCTTTGTCCTGATAGGCTTCAGTAAGGCAAGGCAAGGCAAGGCAAGGCAAGGCAAGGCAAGGCAAGTTTATTTATATAGCACCTTTCAACACAAGGCAATTCAAAGTGCTTTACAAAAATGGAAGACATTATGAAAATGGCATTTAAAATCAGTCATTAAAAAGAAAAGATAATAAAATAAACATTAAAAGAAAAAACACATGAATAAAAGTAACAGTGCAGTTTAAAATATGAATATATCAATTAAAAGCAGTGGCAAAAAGAAAAGTCTTCAGCCTGGATTTAAAAGTAGTAAGAGTTGCAGCGGACCTGCAGGTTTCTGGGAGTTTGTTCCAGATATTTGGAGCATAATAACTGAATGCTGCTTTACCATGTTTAGTTCTGACTCTGGGGACAGAAAGCTGACCAGTCCCTGAAGACCTGAGAGTTCTGGATGGTTCATAATTTAGCAGTAGATCAGAAATGTATTTTGGGCCTAAACCATTCAAAGCTTTATAAACCAGCAGCAGTATTTTGAAATCTACTCTTTGACACACAGGAAGCCAGTGTAAAGACTTCAGAACAGGAGTGATGTGATCCACTTTCTTAGTGTCAGTGAGGAAGCCAGTGTAAAGACTTCAGAACAGGAGTGATGTGATCCACTTTCTTAGTGTCAGTGAGGAACCAGTGTAAAGACTTCAGAACAGGAGTGATGTGATCCACTTTCTTAGTGTCAGTGAGGAACCAGTGTAAAGACTTCAGAACAGGAGTGATGTGATCCACTTTCTTAGTGTCAGTGAGGAACCAGTGTAAAGACTTCAGAACAGGAGTGATGTGATCCACTTTCTTAGTGTCAGTGAGGAACCAGTGTAAAGACTTCAGACCAGGAGTGATGTGATCCACTTTCTTAGTGTCAGTGAGGAACCAGTGTAAAGACTTCAGACCAGGAGTGATGTGATCCACTTTCTTAGTGTCAGTGAGGAACCAGTGTAAAGACTTCAGAACAGGAGTGATGTGATCCACTTTCTTAGTGTCAGTGAGGAAGCCAGTGTAAAGACTTCAGACCAGGAGTGATGTGATCCACTTTCTTAGTGTTAGTGAGGACTCGAGCAGCAGCGTTCTGAATCAGCTGCAGCTTTCTAATAGTGAGACCTGTAAAGACACCATTGCAGTAGTCGAGTCTACTGAAAATAAAAGCATGGACAAGTTTTTCCAAATCCTGCTGTGACATTAGTCTTTTAATCCTAGATATGTTCTTTAGGTGATAGTAGGCTGATTTAGTAACTGTTTTAATGTGACTGTTGAAACTCAGGTCAGAGTCCATGACTACACCTAGATGTCTGGCTTTATCTGTTGTTTTGAACATTGCAGACTGAAACTCAGCGCTAACTTTTATACGTTCTGCCTTGGTTCCAAAAACCATTACCTCAGTTTTATCTTTGTTTAATTGGAGAAAGTTCTGACACATCCAGTCATTGATTTGTTCAATGCACTTACACAGTGTTTGAATTGGAGCATTGTCTCCTGGTGAAATGGTTACGTAAATGTGTGTGTCATCCGCATAGCTATGCTAACTTATTTTGTTGTTTTGCATTATCTGAGCCAGTGGTAGCATGTAGATGTTAAAGAGAAGAGGCCCCAAGATGGAGCCTTGAGGTACCCCACATGTCATATTTGTCAACTCAGATGTGTATTTACCTATAGAAACAAAGTTTGTTCTGTCCTTTAAGTAGGACTCAAACCAATTTAGAACTGTTGCCGAAAGTCCCACCCAATTTTCCAGTCGGTCTAGTAATATGTTGTGGTCAACAGTGTCAAACGCAGCACTGAGATCTAATAATAATAACACTGAAGTTCTGCCACTGTCTGTTTAGGTGGATTTAATTGAAGACCTTAACAGGAGCAGTCTCAGTGCTGTGGTTTGGACGAAAGCCTGACTGGAACACATCCAAACAGTTATTTAAATGCAAGAAATTACTCAACTGTTGAAAAACTACTTTTTCAATGATTTTACCTAGAAATGGCAGGTTTGATATGGGCCTGTAATTGTTCATTACTGAAGCATCTAGATTATTCTTTTTTAAGAGCGTTTTAATGACTGCAGTTTTCAGGGCCTGTGGAAAAACACCTGAGTGAAGAGACTTTTTTACTATATGAAGTAGATCTGAGGCCATGCAATGAAAAACATTTTTGAAAAATCCTGTTGGAATAATATCAAGGCAGCAGGAGGAGGATTTTAGATGTTGTATAATGTACTCTAGTTTTTTATCATTAATCTGATGGAATTGTGTCATGGTGTTTGAATTGATTTTAAGTGGACACAGGGACAACACATTTGCTGTACCTGATGCAGAGGCACTGACTGCTTGTCTAATTTTCTGAATGTTGTCAGTGAAGAAGGAGGCAAATTCATTGCAGGCCCTGGTGGATAGAAGTTCAGAGGCTACTGACACTGGGGGGTTTGTTAGTCTGTCGAAAGTAGCAAACAAAGCATGAGCGTTGTTTTTGTTTTTGGCAATGATATCAGAGAAGAAAGACTGTCGTGCATTTTTCAATTCCAAATTATAAAAGCCAGGTCTCTTTATAGATTTCAAAATGAACCTGGAGATTTGTTTTTCGCCACCTACGTTCAGCTTTTCGACACTCTCTTTTTTCTGTTCTCACGGTCATGGCCTTTCTCCATGGAGATATTTTCTTGCCAGTCACTTCCTTTACCTTAGTTCAGGGGTGGGGAACCTCCAGCCTCCGGGCTGTATACGGACCGCGAGACCATTTGATACGTTCCTCGAGGTAATTTATAAACACACGCAAAAAAAAGAATTAAAGATATCTAGACCGCAAAAGAATTAAACAAGCGAGTGCCTGTTTTTCCTGGCCAAGGTCAGGGTCCTTGAACACAACCCGAGCCTAACGTGTCATCACGTGGTATATGTCTCGTCTGATGACACATGCTGAAGGAGAGCACCGCAACACCGCTCTGCCACTTCAAAAAGTGCAGTACCCATAAGGAGCCGTACACATGCCGCAGTTTTTGCATGGCTGTGTCTTTAGTTGAAAGCCCAGTGGCGATCTGTTCATCTGTCATACTGATCATACAGTCAATAACTTTGTTGTTATTAGCATCTGGTTAGCTAGCTATGCTAACGAATATAAGAAGCTTTTTCTACAACCAGTGAGGTAAAGGCACATTTTTATATGATCATTATAGTTAAACAACATTAAGAGAATAAAGGAAAAACTGGTATGAAATACTATATGACAGTAAAAAATTGTTATTAATAAACAAGAATACAGTTTAAAAGGGGAGTGATTTGTAAAATATCCATAAAGAAAAAGAAAATCTGCTTACAGTTTCATATGGGTGATGGTGCGTGTCTCTGCTTCGGTGATTGTGGTGGGCGTTGTTGAGGGACGGGGGTCAAGGACTTGGTGCCAACCCTGTGTATCTCCTTCATGCGGTCATTGAACTCCAGGAGGGGGGCGAGGGTGAAAGGGTGAGCGGAGAGAAGAGAGCGCTGGGGGATGAAGGAAGAATATCCTCAAAGGTGTTGGTAGGGGGGGTGAAGGGCGGTGGAGACTCCTCCATTTGTGTCAAAGGTCTCCCATAATCAGAACATTCCTCAGGCGGGTGCAGTGATACTTCTTCATGGTTTTCTGCGTGATGTGTTGTGTCTTTCTCCTGTTTTGATTCCTCTTGTCGCTTGTCCTTGGCAGAGGGAACAGATTGATGACGCAGGCTCTTGAATATGTTAGGGATAAACAATTGTACTCCTGACTTGTTCAGGCAAAGTCCATCTGCCTTAAAAAGATGTCTGCGGTCCCAGAA